CAGCGTACAATTATAATCGATGTGGCATTTATAAGAGAGAATGATAGTTTGATGTAATTTTGAAGTCGACTTGTTCAATGTCGTGTAGTGATGTTAAAAATGAACGAATGTTAAACAAACTGGTACTATATCAAACAAAATTATTTTTTTTTTAATACTGAACTTTCTTAAAGTAATTTTTTTCCGATTTTTAGCGCATTGGTCTCATAGTGCGGCGCACAAACGCATTTCTACGTTCCTTATTTCTAAACAACATAGTCGCATTTCACCCTCGGAAAACTCGTTCTCATAGTATTATATTGTATAGGGTAGCCCTGAATGGATATCACGGAAGCTATATACAAGCCTATTCAACATCTTAGATATGAGGAAAGTGTTGCGTTACATATGGTCCGTAAGTCATTTATTTTTGGGGATACATGTGATATCTTTCATGAGAACAGGTTTTTGCAACAAATATGGATGTAGCACTGTTATATTAGCAGTGATTTTCATTAATCATTAATACGAAATTGCAATATTATGTTTATCGTATTACCATTAATAATATAATAATAACATAAATAACAGTAACAATATTATGTAGAAATACCAACACATGTACAAACATAAATGTTTGAAAATCATTAACTTGCAGTACATCCTCAAGGATTGGAACAATTTTCAGATGATTTTCTGGCGCCATATTGAAATGCACCTGATAAATTCATCACATGTACCTACTCTGTTAACACTTCAAAAAACCAGGAGAAAAAATTCTGCAATCAAAATATAAAACAGTCCAATCCCCATGAACGGCTGTCACAGTGGCAAAATTTTATGACCGCACGGTCCGTTTGAAGTTTCTCAAGGAACGAATCGTGCCTTCCAATCGTCACGGGTCCTCAATGCTGAACGCATTTCGATAGTCGACGGAGAACCCTCTCAGCTGCCCCTGTCCCGTTCGAAGCTCGTTTTTTACATGAAGTAATTTTTAGGGTGCCGACCGAACTGTGACCATTGGAACCAGGGGTAAGAACTTTCCTTGAAGAAAGATCGGGGTACCGTTCGAGTGTCGTGCCTCTTTCGCGCTCCCAGTTACCACCCCCAACTTTTGCGGCGACGAGCACCTTTTTTTCTTTTCCACCCCTCGAGATGTGAAACTCCGCCGGAATACCCTATTAGGAACGGTGCACGATTTTTGGAGATAATGATCCTCGAACTTTTCCAATGGCTTCCCTCCCAACGTATAGCCTTTTAACTCGCCTTGGATTATCGAAACTTTCTTCGTCAAATATTTGGAGGGGCACGGATACGGCACGTTAATAATTGGATTTGATCGTTTAATACTTGTGAACGAAGTTGAAGCGTTGTAGAATGATGGATTATTAACACCGAGTCGAGAATAACGTGGAAGTAGTTGATAAAGTGATATGATTTCAAATGCAGTCTTCTCTTCGAAGTCTTTGAACTCAGTGAAAGTTGATTATTTCTAAATCCCACAGTTTCAGACACAATCACGAAGATCTGAAGCAAGAAAATACTATTATGAAGAAACAGTTATGAGCAGAAATAAAACTCACCTTTTCAGTGGTAGTTTTACTATAATAACAGTAAAACTGAATTGTTATAAGATTATTTTCTGATATTCTTTATTCAGAATATCCTCACAAACGGGTGCTCCAAACAAGGTATACCGTTTCTGGAACACATTGCATTATAGTGTATGTATTGAATGCTATATTAAGTTATGAGTGAAATGTTAAGTAATAAACAAATCTCACCGACGAAGTATATACGAATAATTGTAGATCGTATGACTACAGTGGCCTCATAGTAAGAGTGGCTGAAACGGAAAGTCGTTTGCCAGGAAGAAACGCGTCGACCGCAATTATGCCATCGTCGACACATGCATCTTGCTGTATTAATCCTAGTCGTGTGATGGACATGACGTTTCTTGTGGGCAGAAAGCGATTCACGACCGCAGAAGAAATACCTTAATCCGTTCTGAAAGGTTGTTATCATTTCTTCGCCCCTTGGGTCTCTGTTTACTATACCGACTGGTTTTCTACGAGTTTCTTTTGCCAGGGAAAAATCACTCTTCCAGCTACTTGCTATATCTTCAAATTAGAGTGTAATATGACGTCTATGTATTTTCGTCCGATCATACTATCCATAGATCTTATCCTCGATGATGGATAATCTGGAAATGTAATCAATTTTCAGATCTATACATTTTTATTTTTTTAACAAATTTTAACAAGTAATTCAAAATTATCCATTGGGTAATTTTTGTAGAATTTGCTTCTCTGTAAACGAACCCGTAATCGGATTCGTTCTGCCCCATGGGGTAGAAAGCAATTAAGGAATCATCCCATTTTGTCTTACCATAGGCACGTCATGCGCGTCCAACTACAGGACCCATACCCGGGTCGTGTACCCAAGACGACTAGGGCCGACAGACCCTCGTATTGATAGCGGATGAGCCACCAGCCCGACGACCACCTTAGAACCCGATGTATAGCGGGATTGACAATGGCTGAAAATGAGTGTCGTGGACGAACCATGAGGACGACTTACGAAACATAAAGTGATCGAGTACACGAGAGTACGTCGTGTTGGCTAGTCGATACTTAAGAACGATCGCGATTATCGCGAGAACAATTATGTTCTATTTGGTAAGCGAGAGGGATAAGAGGAGAGAGAGAGAGAATTGATATGTTTCGCTCCAAGTTAGGTAGTTTACCTGTGTACGGATAACGCGCACATGCGACTTGGTCTAAGAATCTATCTTATAACTACTTAGGTCTACTTAGGTCTAAACACACGCATCCGGCTTCGTCCATTAAAGTGTTGCAAATGATGTGTTAAGAAACTTTAGAATCTTCAGAAACCTAAAA